GAGGCTGCCTCTGTTAACCTATTCCAGTTTTTCCTTAGACAATGCTTCATGTTATTTCTACTTGCTAGGTTACTAATAAATACATTTGCAAATAGGCATTCTAGAATTTGGAAACGTTTTTTGAGTTTTTTTCCTTATCCATTAAGTATTCAACCATATCACATACTATTTTTTTAAAGCCTGTGTTTTAATATGTCTTAGCTATTAAAATGACTTAGTATAGTAAATATCTCTTTAATTGAATTATTCAGGACTTTGAATCAGTCAAATCTCAAGAGACTTTATAATTTCATGCACAAGCTTAATTGCATTATGTTTTGTTAATGGATCTAAGTATTGGGTGATCTCAGTCAATTATGACTGATAATTATAGACATTGATTTAAAGTGACTTGGGTTTGATCTTATGAAGTAGCTCTATTCCAACATATCTTGCTTCTTCAAATGCTATTGAATTCTAGCATTTAAATGTTCAATAACTTGAATTACCCAAATTTGAATTATTAAAAGGTTGGTATGGGAGAGGTATATGGATACACATACACACATTTCATTGTGAAATAGAAACAAATTAAAAGAAGACGCAATATCTGTATTATAAAGTTCCTGATGCACTTTACTATTTTAGCAATGTCTGAATCAATGTCAGTGTATCTTTTTTTGGAAATTGCTTTAAAAAGGTGCATAAGTCATTTAAAATATTTTTTAAGTAGGCTATTCATAGAAATAAGAATGTTAAGTTATAAAATAAAGACACCAAAGGTAACATTGTATAGCTAATCAGAACTAATTATTAGTATTGATTTAAGATACAGTGCCTAAATTATAGTGGGGCTTTATTTATCTTGTTGTTGTTTTTTAAATCAAAATTAATTTAGCATTTTAAAAGATACTTGGCCCAGTGTGTGACAATTCTCTGTGTAGGGTTCTCAGACACGGATCCGCCCATTTCTCTCTCAGTTCCACTTTCAATTCGTTGATGGAATGTTAATTCCTTGAAGTACCAAAGTATAATTAATACTCTGTAATTAATAGTATAGTTGACTACTATATCACAAAAGCAAAGATTAACATTAACACATTAACATTATTTGGCTTCTGGGATCTTTTATCTTTTAAAACACAAACCAATAAACACAAATGAACATATTATTTAATCCATGGTTTTGAAGGACCAAAATATAAGTCTTCCACCATTTCCCAGGGAGAAAAACTGAGCTCTAATCACAGATCTGGGGAGCAGTCTCATAATTACTCGTGGCCCTGGACTGCTGTGTGTCCTACTTGCCCGTTTCTCAGCGGAAGCGTCTGTTGCATTTTTCCTGTGCCTTGGTGTGTGGGGGCCACAAACTTTGCTTCTTTCTTTCACAAGTCTGCAAATAAAAAGTGAAACGAAAGAAAGGACCCAGGGAGCCTTTCCGTACCTGGATCTAATTTGGCTTTCACGTTCCTGGGTAATAAACTTGAGCTTGTTGCTATATTGGCATGAGACTTTTATTTGCATGGGCAGGAAACAGTGTATATTTCATGTAAGAGGAAACAAAATTTATTTTCAAGAGAAAGAATGTGGATATTTAAAAATTTATTAAGAGGTGATGTCTGAGTTCTCCACCCTCCGTCCACCCCCTCCCCACCTTGGAGTTAAAAGGCGTACCTGCTCTGTGACAATGATGACTTCCAATGCTAGGTCATGAAAGGCCATGTGTTCTGCCTTTTTCACTAGAAACTCAGTCGCAGAGCCTACAGACACTGCTCTGTGACAGTGCCAGCCCCGCATGGAGAGGCCAGCTGGAGGCGCGCTTCCACACAGTCCCAGCGGAACCTAGCCTTGGCTTCCTGAATGCTATGTGCTGGACAACAGGAGTTTCCTTTTGCTGAGGTCTGGGCTTTCGGGCAGGCGGTAGAGTTCCTTGCCCAGCACCTTGACCCTCTGAAGGTGCTGTGAAAACTGCGGATGAGCATGAGTTAGCTTTTCCCCAGGGCAAGTTCAACCTTAGTGTTAGGACACTGGCTTTCCTGGGATTTCTACCAAACGTGGCGTCTCTGTTCCACGAGGATTCTTTCTGACCGTTCCAAGTGTGAGAGTCTCCTAGTCCTCTTTGAATTCTTGGAAATTTTGAATTTACATTTTCCCCACTGTTCTTTGCTTGGTCTCATGTATTTTCACCTTATGCACGCAGGAGTTAATATTAACAGCAGACTCTAGGGAACGTTTATGCAAATTGATGGAGCACTTTAATCACCTAACTTTCTCTGCAAAATTACTGCGCTCAGCAGATGTCTGAGGCGTCTGCTTCTCCTGACTCTGTCTCCAGTTCAGCACCATCTCATCTCTCCGCAGGTTTCTCCTCCCTGCACAGCGGGCTGCAAAATGCACCCAGGCACAAAATCAGGGCGGTCTTGCACTCTCCTCATTCCCCACTGTCTCCCAGGGATCCCACTCCTGTGTCTTCCAATACCTGAAACAAGTTATTTCAAGTCATTATGTAGTTTCTGAGTTCTTTGCAGTAGGAGTGGAAGCTCAGGTGCAGTTACTCCTTATGGCTGGCAGCAGAAGTCCCCTTCTGAGTCTAATAATTCTCTGTACCACAGGCATAGGGCTGCACATATACATTCAATGATGTAATACGCACAGTGGTATCCGAATCTTTGAAAATATTATTATACACATTTTATTCTTTGTCAAATAGTGCCAATAAAATGACTGAAAGTATGTTATATAGCATTACTATGATACCCTTAATAGGTTCCAATAATTATGTTTTACATTTTTATAATTTTATGATATTAATGTGAAACATAAATCTAAAATTCAAATACTGAGATTATATTTAATGTAAATTTTAAATTAGAAGTTTGGACCACAGAATATCATTTGATGTCACAAGCTCAAAGAAAGGGGACATGATATGGAGGGAAAATGGCTCTTTTTCTTTTTTTTTTTTAAGAGACAATTTTAAACTAAGTTCTAATGGCCTTCCTTCATTTTAGCGATAAAATGACATTTCACATGTATGCATAAATATCTGTGCTGTTTATTTTGATATGCCCCTTTTTGTGAGGCAAAATCTATCATATTTGCAAAAGTAGAGTTGAGGACCTGTCAAAAACACTGTGAAACAGAAATGTCAGCTCAGGAATTACACAGGCATTTTTATATTTATTATGTCAGAAAATAATCAGTCATATTGTCCATAAGACTGATAAATTCTATACATAAAATCAATTAGTTTCACAAAAGTAAATGTGTACTTTCCTGAATGAACTCTTGACCACTCCCATAAGCCTCTGCTCTCCTCTGTTTCCGCCTGAGTCCCTTCAACAAGTTTGATTTTTTCCTCACTTCTTGATGCCTTACTTTTTGCACCTCTTTTTATAATTCCTCACGGATTTAGTTAACTTCAAATAGCACTCCAAGCTGAGCTGCCAGAGCCAAGAAGTGACAAAAACATCTAGGAAACCCAACGGAAACATAACCCCGCAGATCCTGCAGAAAGGGGGACTATGCAGTTAGCAGTGGCCCTTCAGGAAGCAGAGCCTCCTGACGATGGAGAAGCAGGTCAGCACTTTCCGTAACTCGGGAACACTGTCCGTACCAGCTCCGTGTTCAGTTGCGTGGCCGCTCTAGGAAGTGCAGGCACACTGTGTTGATCAGAGTATCTTGTTCAGTATCTTGAACGTCACCACACAAGCTGGACTGCGTCTTTGGTGTGTGCACAGCATACCGGACAACGACAAAACGCAGCTGGGCGTTCTCAATGGAATGTGTGCTCCGTTCTTTAAATCCTGGAGCACTTGTTCTGAACCATGAATTCCAAACTTGACACCTTAGCTCTATTGGCAATGATTATGATCTCAGGACACACAGAAGGAATAAGACAACTGCTCTGGATTCAAAGAGAAATTTGAAGACTGATGTGAATTGAGGACGATATTAGCATCTACTAAAGAAGTTGTTTTTGATATGCATATGTGAATTTTAGCAACCGGCTATGCAAAAACCATAATAATGAAACCTGAGTTTCTTACCTGCTAGAGGGAGGAAAGTCAGTTTGGGGCTTTGTAGCCAAAAGATCTGCCCGTGAACGGACCGTTTTCCCTGTCCAGCTACAGCCCTATGTGTTAAAATACAACAAAAATGATTACTGACCAGACAATATCTTCGCCACAGTGGTTATCACTGCCAAAAGGGGAGCGACCTTTCAGTGCGCTTTGCTGTTGCTCTCGTAAGATAGTTTCAGGTCTGACTGATTTTCAGTAAGAGGTAACAGAGCACATGCTCTGGATCCAGACCGGGTTCGAATGCTGGCCCTGTCAGCTCCTGGCTGTGTGACCTTGGGCGTGTCCCTTAACCTCTCTGTGCCTGCGTTTCTCCTCTGAAATGAATGGATGGATGGATTATAACAGTCTGTACATGTTTCTTGTGAGATAGCTAGATAAAAACAGCATTGACCTCAGTGGGTTTCCTGTAAAGGTTGCGTTTATACAAGTAAAGCGCTGAGACCAGCACCTGGTAAATACTAAGCAATATGCGTTTGCTTCTGTCATTATCATCACGGGGCCGTGTTTATAATTACCACACTGACAAACGCCCAGCGTGCGCTCCCGCTCCGCCGGAACTGCTAATGAGGATGCGCTTCCTTGAGAAGTGAGGCGGCAGCATCCTGCGCGCGGCCGCCGCTTTCCGGGGCCTGGCTCGGGCGGGGCCGCGCGCTCCGCACCGTCCCTGCCGCCCCTCCGTGTGCGCACGCGCAGTGCTGCGCGGCCGGGGCGTGATTGACGTCCCCGGGCGGCGAAGGGAGCCGGCGGCGGGCGCGCGGGCATGGGCGGCGAGGCCCGCAGGACCCGCG